TCCACAGTGAAGAGGAGTTCTCTATAGAAGCTAGTAAGGGCCTCGAGATACTTCTGTTTGTGGATGATACTGTGCCAGTGCATCATTTCAAAATATCGCAGAACTTCCTAGATAAAACTCACAACAATCCAAAAGAGTTTGGACTAACCATCCAAACAGGAAAACCAACTGGATGAAAAATTACTCGTGCAGACTATGACATGCAGGTGGAAGGACAATCTATAGAGCCTGCTTATCAGTACATAAACAGATATATTGGTGAATGAGCTCTATCCATTGTTCATCTACTTCTGTGTAATACATATATATATATTTATGTGTGCATATTTATGTATATGCGTGTGTATACGTGTGTGTGTACATATATATATATATATATATATATATATATAAAAATGTATGTATATACAGAGAGAGAGAGAGAGAGGGAGGGAGCTAGGTATCACAGGAGATCGAATGCTGAGCCTGGAGTCAGGAAGACATCTTTCCGAGTTCAAATCTGGCCTCAGACACTTACTGGCTATGTGACCCTGGGCAAGTCACTTCACCCTGTTTGCCTCAGTTCCTCATCTATAAAATCAGCCAGAGAAGGAAATGGCAAATCACTCCAGTATCTTTGCCAAGAAAACTCCAAATGGGGTCACGAAGAATCAGACATGACGAAAAACAAATAACCAGCAACAACTATACATACATACATATATATGTGTGCATATATTTACCAATACATACACACATATATGACCAGCACTACAAATGGACCATTAAACAGAAGGAAAGAGTCAGGCAGATTACTTTAAGAAATTGCAAAACTCCATTAATGGCCTCAAACTTCTCACAGAAACAAAAGCCCATGTTTTTAATACCAATAATCCATCCATGTTGTGTGGCCATGTCAGAGAGTACTGGAGAAGCACAAGGTGGGAAGGCTGAAGCAAATAACAAATAGGAAATATGGGGGGGAGACTAAAAGATGGGCTGGTCACAAGGCAAGAACAAGGGATCCCCAGTGGATAGCCTATGTGCTACACCGGTGTCTTTGTAAGATTTGGAGAAATTGAGGAAAGCCACCACTATGCTGGGTGAATCCCCTGTAGCAAATTAGTGAAAAGGCATGAATAAGAGTAACCCAGGGTGGGGAGGTATGGATGGATCCTGGGTAGATTTGTAAATCGATAAATTAAGTAGTATAATCATTTTTACTACATTGGTGCAGCCCAGCCATGAGCTCTGAACATGTCTCCAATTATTTTAAGTTGTTCTTTGTAAATGTATCTTGAATGTGTCATTTTGTAGTTATTTTGTTTGGGACTTTTTATTATTTTCTCCTGATTATGTTATTGATACACAAACATTCTATTATTTCCTCCTGATGCATAAACATTCTGTTGCTTTCTGTGAGGTAATTTTGTATACTGCTTCTTTACTGATTTCCTTAGTTTCTTTACTGATTTTCTAAGTGAACCATCACATTATCAGCAAATAGGAATGGTTTTGTCTCTTTATTTCTATGCCTTTGATCTGTTTTATCAGCATTTCTAGAACATTGTCAAATAACTGCAGAGAAAGGAAGTATATTCTTGCTTTACTTGGCATTTATTAGGAAAGCTTCTAGTGTTTCCCATGGAATATAATACTAGTTTTTTATTCTAGATAGACATTTTTATCGTTTTAAGAACAGTTCTTCTAGTCCCGTGCTTCATATATTTTTAGCACAAATGAGTGTTGTGCTTTGTCAAAGGCTTTTTTTTTAATCTATTGATAAATTATGTGGTTTTAGATTTTTTGTATGATCGTGTGTAATTATTTTCCTAAGGACCTAATGGTGAAGTGATAATCAAAACAGAGGGATGGTAAGAGAGCACTAAGCCACCCTTGATAAGTTCAAATCAATGCACCTACATGAACTACATCCTTAGGTAGCTAGCTGAAAGACATTATTGCTGAGTTTTGCTATCTGATATTTGAAAATACTTCAGAGAATGGGAGAAATACTGCAGGTCTGGAAAAAGGAAAATGTTTCCCAATTAAAAAAAAAAAAGTAAGAGAACAGAGTCTGTACCTTATAGGCCAGTGAGCTTGGCTTTGATTACTGGTAAGATTTTAGGACAGATTATTAACCAGATTACTAGCTAAAATCTAGAAAAGGAAGCAATGATCACTGAGCAAGTATGGCTTCATCAAGAATAGGTCATGCTAGGGGCAGCTAGGTGGTATAGAGCACTGGCCCTGGAGGCAAGAGGACCCAAGTTCAAATCTTGGCCTCAGATACTAGCTGTGTGACCTTGGGCAAATCACCTAACTCTGACTGTCTCAAAAAAAAGGTGGGTGGGATGACAGGTCATGCTAGATGAACCTTATTTCCATTTTTGGACAGGGTTATAAACCTGATGTAGCAGGAAAATAGTGCAGATACAGTTTTCCTAGATTTTAGCAAAGTGTATGATAAAGTATTTCATGCTTTTCTCATGCAAAAGGAGCAATGTGGACTAGGCACAATTGGATGATTTCGAATTGGTTGAATGGTGGGACTCAAAAAGTAGTTATTAATGATTTGATGTCAATTTGAAATGAGGTCCCCATCTGTGCATCTGTGCATGGCTCTCTCCTGAATAACATTTTTATCAGTCAAAAAAGACATATTGATCAAATGTGCAAAGCTCACACATAGGATGAATTAGGATCCAAAAAAATCGACAGGTTTGGGCACTCAGCTGAATCCAGTAAGATGAAATATAATAGGAATAAATGTAAACTCTTACTTTTGAATACTGTGGGCCTCAGATAGAAGTCCACAATAGAGAACACATAATTAGACCAAAAATCTTGACTTTAACAGCCTACAAGCTAACTATGAGTCAACAACATAACAAAGCCACGATGAGAGGCAGAGCTTCCGGGAATAAGCCAATAGTCCTGATAGACTTCCCATGCCCTCATCGGACCACATCCAATGTCCTCTTCAGTCCTGGGGGCCAGAGTTGAGGAAAAGGCATTGAAAGGCTGGAAGGAAGGGAGAACCTCCTGCCTATGCATCCCGATTCAGGTTTCTGGTAGCAGAGCTCGGTATGATCCACATAGGATAACGAACTGAAGGAACTGAGGATATTTTAACCAGGAGAAGAAAAGTTTCAGGGGACAGGATGGCTGTCTTCGAGTATCTGAAGGGCTGCTGTGAGGAAGAGGGATTGTTATCGTCTGGGACTGGAGGTAGTAAGTAGGAGCAAATTGGATGTTGCAGAGCCAAATTTAGGCTTGACATTAGGAATAACCTCCAAACACTTAGAGCTGCTGAAAAATGGAATGGGAGACTTCAGGACATAGTCTTCCTCCCTCGCTGGACATTTCCAGGTAGATGATGGAGGCTGAGTTATATGTATGTCTTTTGGAGAAAGGCAGGACTACAAGGGCTACTCAGAGCCCATCCAGCTCTAAAATGATCTTAAGATTCTTTTCCTTTTTTTTTTTTAGAGGCAATTGGGGTTAAGTGACTTGCCTAGGGTTACACAGCTAGTAAGTATCTGACGCTGGATTTGAACTCAGGTCTTTCTCATTCCGGGGCTGGTGCTCCATTCCACTGTGCCACCTAGCTGCCCTAAGATTCTTTTCCCTAGACCACTGGGACTCACATCACTTGCATTTTGGACCAAGGGACTTCTCCTGGCCTTAACAATTCCAATTGTCTTATCAGAGACTACTTTAAGTCCAATTGTAGCTCTGGAATTACAGCCTTGATACTCCCATGTGCCACCGTCCACTAGTCCAATTCTGATTGAAGCCATCTTTGAAATAAACACTCCCCACCCCACTTCCCCCAGAATGACAATACTCATCAGATTTCAAACAAATGATGCTGAATTTCTCTTCTATGTAGAAGATTACTCCTCCACAAACATGAAGAAAACATGAAACTAGTATCCCTTTCCCCATTAAATTAAGCAGCAAAAGAAAATAGGCAGGGTGTGGTGGTGAGGGGCAGGCCCCTGGAAGGCTGTTTTACTCATAAGCCCTTTAGGGTGGGGATGAACTTGAGCTATCACTGGGGCCCAGTTGCTTTGGGTAGGTCCAGCCTCAATTCTGGGGCCGTTGGCATGAAAAGGCATCCTTGGAGAAAAGGCTTCAGGGCCCCCAAGGGATTGGGGACTAGGCCACAAGACCAGAGAGCCCCAGAGGAAAAAAAAAAAAAAGACATGAATATCAAGTAACAAATGTCCTTTGAAAGGTATGACATAGCTAAAAATACCAGAGAGTAGAAGCCATACCGCCTTTCAACTTGGATCCCAAAGGGAACACCACACCCTCACAATCCCTCCATTCCTAATGCTGACTGGGAAATGGAAAGGGGTAGAAGGGGTATGTGTGAAAGCATGCCTAGGCAATGATGAGAGGGGGGTCGCCACGGCTTCTCTGTGGGCCACTCCTAGGTCCAAACTGTGAGAGTGAAGGGAACCCTAAACCCTTCTTCCCCACTTAAATCTTCTCCCCTCTTGCTTCTCTTATGTTTCCATCTTTGGATATCTCCAACTAAATTTCTGGCATGATTTCCATGTAGATCTGCCTACAGGTAGGAACCTGGAACAGTAAGTTCTCCTACTAGGTCCAGAATATCCCAGTAGGGAAAAATGAATTCTCCAAAGGGAATTCCACTGGAGAGGAGGCATGGATTTTAGATGGCCCACAGTATTCAAAATGCTGCCCTGTTGGTCCTGATCTGAGGCACTTGAGAGTCAAAGGGTTTTCACCCATTCCCTGAGCTCTGAGGTTTTTGTTTTTTTAGGCAATTGGGGTTAAGTGACTTGCCCGGGGTCACACAGCTAGTACGTGTCATGTGTTTGGTCCGAGGTAGGATTTGCACTCAGGTCCTCCTGACTTCCGGACCGGTACTCTATCCACTGTGCCACCTAGCTGCCCAACTGAGGTTCTTCTTTATCCCATATCCCAACTCCAAGAAGCAGCAGAAGGCTGAGCACTTTCATCAATAAATCAATTTATTTAAAAGAATATGTTACAATTAATTACACTAAGTGACATTACCAAACAATTTTAGAGTGGTTAGCTCTAGAACAAGGAATGAAAGAAACACTGTTAGCCATTGTGTGTTTTCTCTTCACATTTCTTAAATCACAAATAAAAAATACAAGATACTGCAGTGAAAATACAATTAGAGTTTCTCTCAAATAAATTAAAAGAGTGCATGGCCTGGGGAGAGCTGAAACCAAATCCTAAGTTCGAAAAGGGGAACATGATACAACATTGGTTTCCATGTTAGCAGTTGGCCCAAACCTCCCACCCTACATTCTCCCTCTCTCCTTTTAGGATTCCTTTCCATAGTTCTAAACTGTCCATGCATTCCAAATCATTGTGGAGAGCAAGACAATGCTGTCCTGGGATAAATGAGGCCTGAAATGACATGCTTGGATCTGGGAGAGGACGGTGGGGAGAGGCAGAGGAAGTGGTACTGGAAGAATGGAGGGAAAGGGGAGCTCAGTATGTCCCCAACACCCACCACTACGGGTCAAAAATGTCCTTTTCCTCTATGCACACCACATCTTCCTCATCCCCAAGATAAAGTGCCACTGAATATGGAAAGGAATACTAGGAGGGCCTACGGAGATCCAACCACAGGGCCCTCAAATTCTATCAATCTAGCCCATAGCCTTAGGGCATGACAATCTCCTGAACAGAAGGGCAGCCATAGTATGTCTGACAAATCACCCAGGACTGGGAACCCTTGGGGAAAAATGCTCCCCAGGAGCCAGGCCCCTAAGCTGATGGAGTTAGGGAATGGGACAGAAAAAGAAAGCCCTTCTGAGGGCCTCAGCCTGCTGTTCCAGATACTGAATCTGACCTAAAAGGAGGATAAGGTAAGCCTGTAAGTGGCTCACCTGGACCAGTCAACAGAAGTTACTTAAGTAGGCCAGGGTTGTGGCTTTGGACCTTTGATTCTAATTTCTCCAGGAGAGCTCAGGCCAAGAAGCTAACATGAGCACCCTTAGACCTGTACCGTAGCTGAGCTGATTTCCTATGGGATTTAGGAGTGGAGATAGGAAAAGCATAAGACCATTAAGAATTATCAAATGCTTAGGCAAGAAATAAAGTCAAAGAGACTAGCTGAAGACTATGGGCCTTGGGAAATGGGAGACCTGGCCAAAGGGCACCTCCCTAAAATGCAGGAGTATGCTCAGGTCTGCTCTTTTCCTCAGTTCCCTCATAGCTCTCAGCACTTGTCTCAGAGAACAAAAACTACACTGAGCCAAAGAGAGTGGGAGGAAGGGGGAGGGGGCCAGGAAGACCCTGCTGGCTCTAGTGAGGGTACACGTAGCCTGTGCCAACCTCAGGATGGAAAGTAGAGGAAATTTCAAATGAGAAGGAGAAGCATGTCAGACCTAACACTGGCTCATGGAGAGATGGGCTCATTTTCCTAACCTGCAGGCTCCTGGGGCCATGTCGACCTTTGGCACCAGAAACCTGAGGTATAGTGGGGGGGGGGGAAGGGTGAGCACGGCAGGAAGGGTCTCTTCCTCTTTACTACAAATGGGATGCTTTGTTCATGATGCAGCTTCAAGAGGGGATTGCCCACAGATCATCACATCTAGCCTTCCTGGCATCTTTCCACAGGGCTCCATTCCCTGAATGCCGAAGCATAAAGGGATAAACGTGTCAGAAAGGGACTATGGCAGCTGCAGCATACTGTAGAGATGGGGGGGGGGGACGACTCATATGGAAGGGAAACTGAAAAGAAAATCAAGAGTACACTATCCAGAAGGCATTGCTCCCTCACTCGTCTTCCCCAGTGTTGGCTTTCTATTACCATGCAAAGAGGGCAGACAAATCCAAATGCCATTAACTATGTCTCTCTCACTATTCTGAGGCCAGCATCCTGCCATTCGAGGATTCTCTGGGTGGTCTGTCCCTCCCCATGACAGAGAGGGGCAGGTTTCAATCATCTTGAAATATCAACAGAACTGTGGCCAAAAACCTCCTAGAGGCTTGGAGGAAGAAGCCAGCATATTCTCTTTCCAAAGCTTTTGGCTCCGTCCTAAACTGGTTAAAAACCAAAATGAAAAAGTCAATCTTGTGTAAAAGCCTTCAAATGTGGATTCACTTCCCGCAACTTTAAACTTTCAGCACATTCTTGAGCTCTGCAAAGTCTGATTCCAAGTCCACCTGAGTTAGCAGTGATGGAGAGGTGTTCTATGCAGACCCAAGTCATCAGGTGGGCAGATACCAGGAAGACAGGGTGAGAAAGAGAGGAAGAAAAGTAGACAACTTTCTGCAAATACATTTCTGGTTTTGAGATACAGATCATAAAAAATAAATTTCAAACCCTTGGCAACCCCTGCTCAAGGAAGACTAGTAGCCTCAAGTTAGACTTACTTTCCATAAAGCTGACCAAGCCACCCTTCAGAGTTTGGTTTTTTTCTTTTTTTTTAGGAGGAGAGAGACTGAGAAGTGTTAACAGTAGCACCCCATGCTACCCTATCCTTGTGTTCGTAATGCAGCCCACACAGAGCCCCTTTAAAAGAAGTTAGTTTGTCTCAAAGGTCTAACAAGTCAAAATGGGTTCTGTGGGTAGAAAAGGTTCCCCTTTCCACTGTGTCTCTCAATTTCAGTCATCCACCATTTCTCTGATAAAGCTCCTGCCTTGGATCTCAACTGATCTCCATGGTGGAGGTTGGGGTCAGTTAGCAGAGCAAAGGGCCAAGGATCTCAATTATCCATAAAACCATGAACAAATCCCTAACACTGCTGCCCTAGGAAGCTATTTTAAAACCCATGACTTAGAAAAGGTGACAGTGTTCTGGTTGGGTGAAGTGCTTATCTATACAGGGTATTACTTCCCTTTTCTTCCTCCATACAAAGCCAAGTTTCATGTCCAAACCTGTCAGGTCTAGAACCATTCCTTATCACTAGTTCCGGAAAAAGTGATTGAAGGGTGGACATGACCACCACAAGGCACGCCTGGGTTTTCTGGAGGAAATGGACCACACAGAACAACGTCCAGTGCCCACCCCACATCTGTACTGCTTAACCCAGGACGCCGATGAAGTCTGGGAGAGCTCCTCAGAGAAGCAGAGAAGTGAAGTGAAACATGGCTGGGGAAAGGTGAGGAACGAGAAGGACGTGGAAGCTGGGCATCTTTCTCAGAGCCAAGAGGCGGCCTTGACCAAGTCTTCTGATTAAGCACACTACCCGTACCAGACAAGAATCTTTTCCTCTCCCCAGCATCTCTACCCTCCACCCTCCTGGAAAGCAAAAGGAACCACACTTCCTTGCCTTTGAGGCTCCATGTCAACCTCTAGCCAGGATCCGCACCCAACACAAATAAAGGAAGAAAAAAAACCCAAGCAGGTTGTAAACTTTTCAAGTCCTTCATGAGGAGAGGTATTTTCCCTGTAATTTTTTTTTTAAAGTTTGTTTCAAAGGAAAAAAAGAACAAGAGAGAGAGACAAGAGTAATGAAACCTGGTGAAAGGTGTGTAAAAATGCAAGCTAAAAAAGGTACTGCCGTCAATATGAAATTTAAAAAGAAATATATATGTATATACGTGCAGCTAATTTGTGTATATATATATAATTTTTTTTTACATACATACATATATACGTTTGAACAGTGCAAATGGATGGAGTCCATAGTTCCAGTTTTAAAAATAGAGTCCAAGGAGAGTTTGTTGGTGGGAGGCCTGGGCAAAAGACAAAGACCCCTCTAGCGGCTTGGCGGGGCACATTGGCTTTCCAGGTGACCACTTGGTTGGCTTCTGGTGCTGACCATCCTATGTTTTCTACCAGCTCAATTCCAGACATGAAATTCACAAAGGGGATTATTAATATTCAGTTTAGGGCTTTTTTAATACAATGACTTTTTTTTTTCTTTTTCTCCTCTTTTGTAAGTGTTAATGGTTACTCTGACATAGGGAGTGGAAGCAGGGAGAAACAACGTATGAAGGGGAAGGAGAGGAGGGAATGAGGGGGTGGGGCTAGGTGGCCATATCCCTCTGCTGTGACCTGGCCATCTGGAAAATGTTCTGAAAGGAAAAAAGAGAAAAAAAAAAAAACAAAAGCCTGGTTATGAGGGAGCCTTGGGAGCCCCACACACATTTCTAGTGTGGAAAACCCGAGACACAGAAGCTGTACAGGTAACATTTGGGAGGGGGGGCAGAGCACATCTCCTCCCCATGCCATCCACATAAATGTCCAGACCCAGAGCTAGGGCTGACATCTCCAGACGGCCTCTATTGTTACATCAAAATGCGTCTTTTCATTCCATAGGCTGAGCTGTCCTTCCTAAAACCCTTTACGTTCTTTCTGAAGAGTAAGCGGCCAGCTACAAAAGCAGCTTCCTAGGAGACCATGCCCAGCACTGGCTCAGACAAGGCCCGTGAGAGAGGCAGCAAAGCACCTGTACACCCACGAGGGCAGAAAATCTTGACTGAGACCCTGCTCCTGATCAGTCCCCTGCTCAGAGCCACGTCCCAGAGCCAGCCATACTGGGAGGTAGGGGGCAGAGGGAAAAGCGAAGAGATCAGAAAAAGACAAGACAGCACAGGGTCTTGACAGTCACTGTTTGCTGGGTCAGGGCTTCGCTGGCTTAGCCCGATTCCTGCCCAGCACATACCAAAGTGTCTCTTGGAATGCTGTCCTGGGCTGTGTGTGGTCTGCAATGGGGACTCATGGGGTGGGGGGGGGGGGGGGGGAGCAGTGAGAAGGAAAGGAGGGGGTAATTGCAGGGAGCCAGGCCACTGGCCCAACAATCCTCTGTTCAAAGAAGCAAAAACCAATGAGCAGAGCTCGGAGTTACCTCTTTCCTCCACTTGAGTTCGCAGAACACCCTCTCGAAGCACTCGTGCATGTAATTGAACTGAAAGAGAAGCAGCGGCACTCACCACCCCCTCACTGCCAGCGTTCTCCCCCAACTCCCTCAGGACAAGGGCAAACGTGGCTCGCAGGTGGACAGCTGCCAACGGGGAGCCCTCCCCAGCCCATCCCCAGCTCTCGGGCTCCTCCCTGTGGCTGACGGAGGAGAGGACGTGGCTCCATCCACCACCTTTTGGGGCTAGAGGAACAAGGGGAGCTCGACTCTGAAGGGCCAGCCTGGGGTTCTGGGACCCAGACAGGTGCAGAGGACAAGACTATTCCCGTTGTGTTCCTCAGCTGGCCGATTCTCAACTTTACGTGCATCCAGTTTTTCCAAAACATGCAACCCATCTGACCACTCACATAGGGTGTGAAGATTTTGACCCATCGCGGCTTCTTCTCTCCTCGCGCATATTCAAAACAGAAAGCCATCCCCTCTTCATCCGTGTCCCATCGCTGCATCTCATCCCACTCAAAGGCTATTACCTGGTTCTGAGCATCAGAGAGCAAAACATCAGGGGGAGAGGCGAGGATCGGGAGCTGGACGGGGTCTGGGTCAGCAGCAGGGGGAGAAGGGGTGGAGAAGGGCAAGGCCGGCCGGGCCAGGCAGAAAGAACAGAACAGCAGCTGGACAACGAAGACGAGAAGCAACAGAGCTCTACTGCCAGCTCGCCAGGCCCAGTCAGCACACAGCTGTGATTCGCTTCTCCTCCAAGGAGAGGGGCCCAAAGTATGGCCGATGACTTCGGCACCAAGTCCACACCAAACATACGTCCTCACTCTCACGGGAGTCTCCCAGTGATGTCTCCCCTCACGTCCCCCAGCCTTCTGCATGGCTCTCACCTCAAGCTGTCCCTCTTCCGTGCAGGCATGTAGCTTGAAGTGCGTGATGCTGATGGCTGTGATGACATGTCCCTTCCGCCTCGAGTCGCAGGAACAGTGGGGGAAGATAATCTCATTGTAGCCCTCACAGGTCCTAAGCATGTTGAGGTACTGGGGAAAGGAAGGGGAAAAGCTGTATCACTAGGAAGTCAACTTCCTACAGAGAAGCTAGGAGGAAAGAAAGCACAAGAGACAGAGAAGGTTCTGGAGGGAACGAAAGCCCCACCCCCCAGCACCTGGAGACTTGCTTCTGCACCTCCACCTCTTACAGGAGGGGAGAAATGACCCCCTCTCTCACTGCCAGGACAGCAGAAGCCCTCACGTCATTCATTCTTGTGCCTTCCTTTCACAGAGCCCAGACCCACAGAAATCCAGACACCCCTTTATTAAGGACACCCAGGAAAGAGGGTGTGGCCACCTCTCTCCCCTTTCCTTCTGCCCCAGGGAAGTTAGCAGTCTCCTCCCAAGGAGGTAGGTGGTAAAGGTCTTCTCTACAGGAATTTCCTAAAAACCCTGAAGAAAGGCTTAATGGATTCTGTCCTGAACTCCATGAGAGGCCTCCAGGAAACAATCCAATAGCCTTGAACCTTCACACCCTCAATCACATGTCATCAAGGAGACAGGGAATACTGGGGGATGTTAACAGAGAGCCAAAGATAAAAGCACCCCCCCACACACACACCCCTTTTAACTTCACTAGGCTGGCAACTAGAATGGAATGCCCTGTGAAGTTGGCAGCTCAAGGGAAAGAAGGAAACAACAAAAAAGGTCACAACTCTCTAGAACGGGAGTTTGGACTGCTGGACTTCGAGGCCAACAAACCGTACCAGAGACAACAACAGATGCCACCAGGGTTTCCACTAAGGAATAGGAGAGCCCTAAGCAAATCACCTAATGTGCTCCCTTCCCTCAGTTAACATTTCCATGCAGATTAAAAAAAAAAAGCAAAAATTAATCAGAAAGGCAGCCTTAGAGGGAAAAAGAAGCCCCAGGAGCAAAGGGCCCGGGAGGATCCTGCCCCCACCCACCACCACATCATTGGCTCTGGTTGCCACTCTCTTCCCCACCCCCCACACTTCTTTGCTACCCATAGACACAGCTCAGCCTTGAATCTGAGAAAGAGATTCAGCCTCTCAGCATGTTCATCGGAAGCTCTCCACGGGCTGAATAAAAAGCGGATTCAGCTAGAAAAATGCTTTGGTAAGATTTCTACAATTCTCAGAGCATTTTTGGAGCCTTAAAGCTGGTTCTTCCTGTGTTCTTTTGTCACTGAGAAATGCTGCAGCACAAATAGGGATGGCCCTAGAGTGTGGAAAGACCTGAAGCCAAAGTCCCTTTGGACACGTCCTAGTTGTGTGACCACAGAAGGTCCTATAACCTCTCTCAACTTCAATTTCCTCATCTGCAAAAGGGTGAAGCTAATTAATCCCTACCTCACAGGGCTATTGCAAGGAAAATGACTGTTCAGCCTCAAAGTGCTCAATGAAAGGTGAGTTATTACCAGCAACATCCCTTTGGGAAGTAATAGGGCTTAGGAAGACATTTTGGACCATAACGTAGATGAAAACCAAGATCACCCTGGGCTGCGGCGAGGAAGGAGGCAAGGGGAAGTCTCAGGGGATCAGTTTAAGGCCAGTGAGCACAACCATATTGATCTGAATCTCTATTTTATGGGGTGCATATGTTTGAGGGTAGGGAGAGAGTGACCTGAAATTGATGGCATGTGATTTAGAAGTTAGAGAGGGAAGGGATGTGGGTTTGGTCAAAAGATAAGAGTTTTAGAAATGAGACAAACCCAAAGTTTTCACACGACAAAAGTGGGATTTGTTTACAACCATATCCAGGTGAGAGTCACAGATGTACGTTTACAACACATGGTTTTCCTCTTAGGTGTTACGAAAGCTTTAGCCTAAGGCACTGAGAGTGACATTCTTTGCCTTAAACACTATTTAAATAGGTGCCCATATCAAACAAAACAATAATAGCAACTCACTGGTATGTTACCACTTACAAAGCACTTTCCTCAAGGTGAAAAGTATAGTAAGAATCATTTTAAAAGTGTTCAATATTCATCAAGGTAGGCAAATACAGAATTAGAGGAATTATTAAAGCAGGGACTCTGGGCTTAACAGAGCAGAACGCTTTTGTGGTGAGCAAGTCAAGGTGGACTTTGGAAACCAGGTTTTAAAAAAGTGCGCACTAAGCACATTCCCCCCATCTAACTCCCAGACTTACACGGAAATCCCTTGTCTGTCAGCTCTGCAAAAGAACACTGAGTTGTGGAGAACCCCAGCATGCGAAGATATCATTTAGACCTGATTTCAATCTCTGAGTGCAAGTCAGGAATCAGAACACTATCCTACATTCTACCTTCCTTTTTTTTTTTTGTTGGTAAGGCAATCAGGGTTAAGTGACTTGCCCAGGGTCACACAGCTAGTGAGTAGCATGGGTCTGAGGTCGGATTTGAACTCAGGTCCTCCTGACTCTGGGCCAGTGCTCTACCCACTACAGCCCCCAGCTGCCCTTCCTACACTCTACCTTCAACAGAAACTGAAATTCAGTCCAACTCAGAACTGGAAGGGGACAGAGAAGCAAACATGTATTTTAATGCAAACCCTGGCAAGGATGTGAACAGTCCTCTCTAGGTTTTTGGCCATCCCCTTAAGCATTAAGTTTTAGGAAAGTGTCATAAAACAACACCACCTGACTGGAAGGACCCTATTACAATGCATAAGAAGAGATTTTTGGAACAGGAAGCATCACTTACACAAAGCTTATTTTTTCCTGGCAGTCTGAAAATCTCTACTGTGCAGAGGGACAAACCAAGCACACCTAGGGTGTCAATGAACTACCCCAAATCTTACAACGGATTAGGAGTAGGGTCAAGGCAAAAACTCGGCTCCCAACCCCCTTGTTTGAGCTGTATCACCAGGACTGCATTACTCCCCTGCAAATGCACTGGTGTGAGGGGTTTTGCCATGAGGGAAGTTCAATCCTAGAATTAAGAGGAACACAAACCTACCATAACCATCTTCCTCTGTTCACATAGCTTCTGTAACTGGTATGATTTTTCCTCTGCTTTTATATAACCTTTTTTCACATCATCAACAGCCTAATATCCAAAAATAAGCAAAAAAGAGAGGGAAGAAAAAAATGATTGTAACATTAGGTCTTTAGAAAAATGGAGGAACAGATTAATTTCCAGAGTTATTCTATTCATTCTGACCATTTTCACCATTGAGATAATCATTATTTGCTTAATGAAAGACTGCTAGGTACACTGATTCAACAATCATCAGGTACTAGATAAAAATTCTCAATTTCTTAGCCTAATATTCAAGACCATCCCTAATCTGGCCCCAGTCCATTTCTCCAGCTTTATCTCACACCACCCTCCATCATGTTGTCTAAGCTTCAGGCAAACTGAGCTACTACTCACCTTCCAAGGAACACGCCCCTCCCTCTCTCCCTGACCTCCTTCCCCATCATCTCCATCTATCAACATCATATCCATTCTTCAAGGCCCAGCTCACCTAGCAGTGATCTCTTCATTATATGCTTTCCTAGAACTCTATGCTCCTCATATATTTATCATATTCTAATCTGCATTTTATTTATGTGTATGAAATAATAATTAAATTCAGCAAACATATATTATTAAGCACCTATTAAAATGCAAGGTACCATATTAGTTGACGGGAATGCCAAGACAAGAAAGAAACAGTCCCTGTCTTCAAGGAACTTATAATCTACTGGGAGGAAACATGCCTGCAGATAATCACATACAAAATAAACACATTTCTATTGCATTTTTAAAACTTTATCAAGTTTTCTTCTTCTAAAACAACTGTATAAGGTAGATAGTACAAGTTCTATTACCTTCATTTCACAGACAGAGGAAACTGAAGCTCACAAATCATATGACTTGCCTCTGGTTTTACTGTTACTAAGTATTAGAATCCAAATTCAGGTCTTACGACTCTAAGTCCAATACTCTGTCCATGACATCATGGTCACCTCCTAACATATAAATTCACTCCTGTAAGATTTTTTAAAAAAATTTACCTGGCCTCTGAAATATCAATGTAGGTACTTCCTCTACCAAGCAGATCAGCATCTTCTCTGAACCTTTCAGTTATAGAGAGCTGCCTGGGTCACTGAGAAGTTAAGTGATTTGACCAAGTTCACAGAACCAGGATGACACAGAGGCCAAACCTGAACCCAGGTCCCCTGATTGAGAGTCTGTCTCTCTACCCTGTCATGCTGCCTTTGGAGACTGTAAACGTAAGTGCAGAACTGAGTATCATATCTATCTCCCCACCAGTCCCCAGCTAGAAAGGGCTTTGTTCTTCTACTTCGGTGGACAGATGAGCCAGGAATATGGTCCTGATGCAAATGGCCCCTCATCAAAACCGGCCTTTTCCACTTTTCTGATCTGTGTCTGTTTACCCAGAAATCCTCCACAGACCACTGACCCTCTAAATCCTTAACATTCTATTGGTACAAATGATTGTGCATGCAACACCCAGAATTATCCATGTTGCTGTTCGTGCACCTGCTTTTCCAGTTCTATTCTGGCACACACCACTGGTGGTGAGATGCTGCCACCAGCTAACAACTATCACGTCTACTTCTCTTACCTCTTGGTCACCTGTAACTTTGATTCTTTTGGAACCATAGTGTTGCATGATTCACAACCATATTGTATCACTGAGCAAATACTGATGCTGAAAACATGGGCTTCTATGTCAGAGAAGAGCATGGGAATCGCTGAAACGGCATGGTTGCCAGTTTCATTAAAGAGATCTGTAGTATTCTAGTACTCTGTTATTCACAAAGGAGCATCTGCGATATCTCACTGTTGAGAATGAATTCCTCTTCCTTTTAGACACTGTACAAGATATCCTCAATAACCCTGAAAAACATTTTTTTTTTTACCAAGCCTGTCTCTCCCTGATTTACACCTTGTTTGTAACACTGATAATTAAACGATCTTTAAAATTACATTTTATATTGTCTTAACATATATATGAAGGACATCTTGGTGGAGAACAGCCTTTAATACTGTATTTTAGATTTAGCAAATCAAATACTTTTCTGTAATCAAGCGATAGTTACAGTAGTATCTTACATCCCTACACTACTTACATCAACTGCAAGACTAAAAATTGGTCTACTATAGAAAACTGGCTATGAAAGCCTGCTTCTTCTCTCTCATGTCTTCATGAAGGAAGCCCTCAATATGTGAATAGACCATTCTCACTAAGTTTACATGGATGAGAAAGTAATCACATGGGCCAGTAGCTGCAAATGTCTTCTCATTTAATTTTATTTTGGTATCAATACCATCAGTAATCTTTTCTATTTTCACAGATATCTTGAAAGTCGATCCCCAAGTGCCTTCAGTCCACTGACCTATTATTCGTCTAATCCACCTTTCCTATTCTAGTTTCACTTGCCAATACATCCAATCTTGACCTCATGCTCTGCCACCGTTTTCCTGGCTAATTACCTTATCCCCAGTGATCTTCCACTGTTTTAAACCTGTGAATCCATATATCCCTAAGTAACCCCCACATATGATTTCTCTGTTAACTCTCCAGGGCTTAGCAGGAGAAAGTTGTGAAATTAAGCTGATTTCATGCACTAAAAATCAGTGTATAATCTCAGCTGGGTACTTGCTGATGCACAATACTTTTATTCTATCCTATCAACTCATCTCATTCCCCAGAGTGAACATCCCAGGTCTTTTTTCTTTTTTATTGCAAGTAACTTCACTCCTACTTCATTGAAAAGATCCAGACAAAAATTCTCTTAGCTCTCTTCCTTCATTTCTTAAATGTTTTTAATATAACCCATTTTCTTCTTTTCCTTCCAGTTAAAAAAGAAAAGGTATTCTATTGCTAAGGCTAACCCTTAAGACCTGCAACTGTAAACCTATTATCTCCATCCTCCTCCAAGAACCTAGTCTGGCAGCCACCTCTCTCTCACATGCACCTTCAGAATTTCTTTCCCCTGACTCTTTTCCAATTGCCTTCACACATGCTCAGATCTCCCAAATATTTTTAAAGCCTTCCTGTGAAAATCTTACCAGCATGCTGCTAAAGGAAGCCTTATGACTCTATCTCCCTCAGTCTCTTTTCTCCTCCGATTAGAGGGCTTGGAAGGTAGAATACCAAACTCCTCCCAAATATTTTTAAAGCCTTCCTGTGACTATCCAGATAGTCTACTCCACTGCTACCCCATCTCTCCTCCCTTGCTACACTTCTTATAAGAGTGTCCTCTATTTTTTCTTCTACCTACTTTCCCAACTCCAAACAATCTGGTTCTAACTCTACCACTGTTCTGAAACTGCTCTAAAATTAACCAAAGAAAAACAGTCAACCAAATAAAAAACTCTTCATCAGCCCTCATTTTCCTTGACCTCTCTGTAGCTTTCAACACTGGTAACCATCCCCTCTCTACTAGTTAATCTATACTTTACGGGGACCAGTCATAGGATCACTGAATAACAGACCATAAAGAAAGGACCAGAGACTATCTTAACCTATCCCCCTTATCGTACATTTGAGGAAACTGAGTCACTAGTCATCTAGCTTTCACCTTTCCCTCTGAAATACTCCTTTTTCATCTCATTTCCTCTTCCCAAACATTTAATTAAGGTGTTCTCCAAGGGTCTGTCTTTGCCTGCCTTCTCTTTTCTTTTTCTACTCTCTTCCTTAATAATCTTGTTCTATGACATCAACCACAACCTCTATGTAGACAACTCAACTCTGTATTTATCTCTGATCTCTCTTTTGTGCTCCAGATCCAAATCCAGAAGGCATCCAGATGCTTACCTGCCCACCAACACCTTGAGTAAAATTCAACATGTCCAAACAGGCACTTTATTAATCTCCCTCAACAAGTCTACTCTTTATCATAACTTCATTCATTATGTCAATGTCAACAGCACTACATCTCATTTTAGTCCCCACATTTGAGACCTGGGGATAATAGCTTCAACTCTTTCCTCTTCCTAACTTGTGATAAACTATCAGCTACTAAGTCTTATCATTCACAATACCATCTTACTACCCCCTCTCTGCTCCCACTGGTACAACCTTAATACAGGCCTTTATCATCTGGATACCTATCTGCACTACTATAACAGCCTTGTAAAAAGTCTTTCAGCAAAAGACTTGTTTCCCCATCCAAACCTACCTTCTTACTGCTGCCAAAATTATCTTCTTTATGAACAAATTTGGTTATGTCACACTTTTGTTTAAAGCCTTCCAACTGCTTATTAAGTAGACTTCAAATATTTCTGACTGGCATTCAGGGTGCTACACTACCTATATTTAGCCCTGTACTCCTTAACACTTTCATCAAAGATTTTAATAAAGGCATAGATGCCAAGCTTCAGTCTTTTATTACCAATTGCCTATTGTATATTGCAGACCAGATGTCCCTGACAATCTTAAATGAAGCTCCCAAAATAAAGGTGATCAGTGGAATCTGTGCATCTGCTGCCCTGCCTGACAGAGTTGGTCTTAACTCCACAAACAAGATGCCCCTCCCAGGATAAGCTCTTCACTTCTAATCTCACCATCATGCCGCTAATGGAAGCCTTATGATTCTACCTCCCTCAGCCTCTTCTCTCCTCCGATTAGAGGGCTTGGAAGGCAGAAGACCAAGCTCCTCCCAATGCTTTCCTTTAGAGAGGGAAGAAAATTCCCACTGTTCCCTCTTGCTCTGCCTGGTCTCAACTCCACAGAACAAGATGCCCCTGGTCCTGTCCCCCACCCCAAGACATACCCTTCCCTGCCTCCTTACTGTATTGTCTCCCCCCCCATTAGATTTTAAGTTCCTTGAGGGCAGGGACTTTCTTTTTATTATATGTCCAGTGCTTAGCATAGTCCCTGGCACATAGCAGGCGCTTAATAAATATTTATTAAATTGGATTCTAGACACTAAAAGTCTATTAATACAGCCAAAAATCAGGGTTTTGTTTTGTTTCTGCAACATTACACTGCTGACTCAATGAACTTGTAGTCAACTAAGTCTTTTTCACAAGATGTTTCCATCCATTCTTTCCTCACACAGTTGATGCCAATTACTCTAACCTACTGAGACTGACCTGAAATCCTATTCTATCATGCAAAGTGTTACTAAATAAATTCACTCATTCCACAACATTTATTAAATACTTAAGGTGTGCAGATGTTCAAAGCACTATGTTAGTTGATGGAGGAGACCTAAAATTTAGGTAAGCCATGGTTCTGGCCCTCTGAGCTTAGAGCCTAATATTAGCTATCCTTCTCAGCTTTGTCTTTTGCAATTGTGATAAACAGGCTGTCAACTAGTCAAAAGATTGAGATTATTATCTACCAATTACAAATGAAAAGAAAGTCTGAGCCAGTGTACCCACCTGATGGAAGAAGTAGGTAACTGCGAGGTCATTATCATTCAGAAGAACCTCCTCTTCTGTAGTAAAGAGCCATTTGCGGATGGTCAGGCAGGTGCCTGGCACAGCTGATGTGTAGTTCTGGACATAGAGCTTGTGGGGGAATTCATTGGGAGCCAGCTTACGTACTACAAGTTAGAGAAAAGACACAAAGCTCATAGAACCAGGCGGAAAAGATACAAATTTTCCTGATTCAGACTGCACAGGCCAAATTGGGAATGGCAAGCTATTACCCAAATGACATTAGAATACCAGCTCAGATATATCAAGAGACACTTCGAGAGCATAAATAAGCATTTGCCTTGACAAATCTGTTTCTCTCACCCTTTCAACTCTTCACAAACTGACTGGCATTCCTTTCTCTGTCACCTGAGCAACAGGTAACATGCTAATTAAGTTAACATGCTAATAGCAATAACTGCCTCCAACTCCTCTCCAGCTAAAATATCTGGCCGACTCTTTGGTCAATTACATCCAGCTGCTGTCTACAGAACATAGTTAAAGAAAGGCTTTCCTTCATACAGCTAAGTATTTTCAAACTCTCAGGTTTCAATTCTCAACAAGTTATTTTCACTATTGATGGGTGAGAAGTTCTTTACCAAAGTGAATCCTAAAACGTAATCTTCAAAATTACATAATCTTCTGAGGAATGCCACTTTCCATGCCTAATAGTATATAAGCAGGAACTACAAAAATCACTTTTAGTTTCTACAGTGCCTTCCTAAAGAATAACCCAGAAAAATTCCTCCTCTTGATCTGTCTTCATCAAAAGATAAAGAATGAAGTTAACCCTTTCTATCTGACAAAATAAAAAAATGAAATCTGGAAAAGAAAAGTAATTTGTCTATAGGACAAAGGCAAGGTTGGGATTAGAATCCAAGTGTCCTGATGACCCCTTTGGGAGTCTTCTTTTTCCCCTTTCAATTCATTCAGTGTGTTTTACTTTCAGTTTCAAATTCTCTCCTTCCTTCTTCCCTCTCCCCATTCACATTCAGAAGGTAACAAAAACAAAACCCATTACAAATATGTATAACTATGCACAACAAATTCCCACAGTCATGTCAAACAAAAAAAAAGAAAGAAAGAAAGAAAGAAAAGGAAAAAAATGCAGACAAAAGAAAGAGAAAAGTAAAAAGAAAAGATCCTTTAACATGCACTTGGGGTTCAACAATTCTCTATCTGAAGGAGAGCAGAATGTTTCATTATGAGTCCTCTGGAATTGTGGTTGGACATTGTGTTGATCAGAGTTACCAAGTTTTAAAAAGCTGATTATCTTCACAATATTGTTGTTATTGTATAAATTGTTCTTCCGTTTCAGCTCACTGAACTTTGCATCAATTCATACAAATCTTCCCAGGTTTCTCTGAACCTATCCCTGTCCTCATTTCTTACATCACAATAGTATTCCACTACACTCATTTACCATAACTTGTTCAGTCATTCCCCAATTGATATGCATCTCTTCAGTTTCCAAATCTTTGCCACCATAAAGAGGGGCTACAAGTATTTCTTGTACATATGGGTCCTTTTTCTCTTTCTTTGATCTCTTTGGGGTATAGACTTAGTACCTCTTGGGACCTCTTCCTGCCCTGGTGCCCTGCCTCAGCCTTCTTTCAGTCTCTGGGCACTGGAATGCTACCTGCTGCTGTTAATTTAGTTATGGCCACCATGCCCTCCTCCCCACAGTTGTCAAGGACCCTTCTGTCCACCTCGAAAGCCCCACTAGGCTAGAATAGTGACTCTTCCAATCAGAATTCAGTCTGATGCATTTTCTAGATCTTTGTCAAACAGGTGTGTTCAGAGAGCTAAGCTAAAATGCTTCATCTTATACCACCATCTTGACTCCACCCCTTGGGAGTCTTCATCAAATGATTCTATCTTCCTTTCTAATAGCACAAATAATTAATCCATGAGCTATCAAGTTCCTTGTAATCTTAGTCACATGTGTCTCTATAAGAAGTTCAATAGGTCAAACTGATCTAGGGACAGAAAAAGAACAAAATAGCAGGCGGAAAATAAACTTGTTCCCTCAAGCTCCGAGACTAGACCATAGGCCTATTTGTTGTTTCTCCTTTGTTCTCAAAGATCGGGAAGATGATGTCATGACTTGCCAGTGAACTGGATTTCAGTGAGGGAGGGCTGTGCAAAGTCACCAGCCTCACTTTCTCCTCCAGAGCCATCTGGATCCAGCAGCAAGATACAGATCAGGACAACTGGAGATGGCCTCCATGGCCCTATTTAATTGAAGGATGAAGGATCTAATCAACCAACACTGTCCATGTTCTTCCTATCCTCATTCCTGCAATTTCAGTGCTGACACAGAACAGGACCACACTGAGTAAGAGATCAATGTCATGTAAGAGTGAATCCTCTGACTTCCTTTCCAATGAGTTACTGGAAACCCCTCATCCCCATCCCATCATGCCTTATTACCCACTGGAAGAATGTTTCTGAAAGCCTGAACTTCTTGTGAACTTCTTCGGAGGGAGTTTAGGAATATGAAAACATGCAATAAATCAAGAGTGTTTTAAGTCAACTTTCCCCTCCTCTGCTGAGAAAGTCCCCCATTCCAATTAAACTTTGTGGAAAAAGCATTTAGAATTCTAATTTTAAAATCTACTTCCTCTTCTCGGGACTATTCCCATAGAAGAACAAAGATTTAAAATTTTAGTTTGGGGGGAAAAAAAAAAGGTAGACACAAAGGTAGACACAGTCTCCAAAACTGTGCCTAATCCACTCAGGAATAGCAGACAGCATGCCATTGCACCAGAAAGAAATCAGACATCTGCCCTAAGATGTTGCAGAATAATCTGTATTTTGAAAGAAGAAGGTAGCAACAGTGATCTAACACCTCTGGAGCTGCTGCTGAAAGACTAAGCCTCAAGGTCTACCTTCCTGACAAAGGAGATTCTAAATGATGTAATTTCCTTTACTTTGGGGTCCCACCCCCTTGGGTAGGTTATTCTAACCTGACAATTTACTAAAAGTTTTGAATCCCAAAGTAAAATATTTCAAAGCAGATGCTGGTACTTACCAAAGGAGTGATTAATCACCTCAAACAAGGCAAAGTAATTCACGGTCGTGCTGTCCATGCCAACCTTTGCTGCGATAGCCTACAGCACAAGTGGAAGCACAGGTCAACATGAGGAAAACTCCACCCGGCAATGCTTAGAGTGGGGGTGAGAAAAGCCCCCTGGCCAAAACAAAAATTCACAGCTGGAAAAAATTAATCCCTAAACACTGAGGTCACAGAATGCAGCTTTGTACGAACACAAGTACAAATTTTTAGCCACTCAACACAAAGCACCTTTTGGTACTGGTGACTGCTACTCGAACTGGTTTCTTGGTTTTCCGGGTATCACAGAGTCCCCCAGCTCCCTCACCCCAGCCAGCCTGGCCAAAGTCACAGTAAGTTCCCCAAGAAACTGTCATCAAGCCCCTCATGAAAATGGTGAAATGCTAGGGGCTGGCCTCCTTCTCAGTCAACCTGAATCTGAGGAGAAGGCTAAAGGGGGGGATGCCGCACATCACACAAACTGCCTCTCCCCACTCCCCTGAACACTCAATTTACACTGTTCACACTCAGTTCTAGGTGGGGTGGAGTTCATGACCCCCAGCTGGCACACTAAGTCCAGGACTCAAGTACAAACAGCAGGGTGCCACAGTGCACAAAGTGACAGGCCCGGAGTCTGGAAGACCCGACTCTTACTACCTGTGTGACCCTGAGCAAGTCACTTCATCTGTTTGCCTCAGTTTTCTCAACTGTAAAAGGGAGATAATGACAGTACTGCCCTCCCAGAGTTGTTGGGAGAATCATAGCAGACAATATTTGTAAAGTGCTTAGCACTAGAACTGGAACAGAGTAGGCACTTTATAAATATGGATTCCTTCCCCCTCTTTTCCAAGGCTGGCTCTAAGCTGGGGGTCTCAGAAACCAAGGTCCTAGCAGGAGAAACAGTGAAAGAAAGCGAAAGACAATCTGTAAAACTGCACGTCTGTTGCCACATCTTGTCCATGGTATAGGCACAGAACAAGCATGGTCCCCCGGACACTCCTGCACAACGGTCCCATTCTTACATCCCCAAGGACGGTCACAGGTGCCCTTGGACTGATCTCAGTAACAGCGTGAGCTCCGTTTACCTGATACACCTGGTCTGTGGTGCTGTTCTTTTTAACTCGGACAGTCACTGTGGTGGCGTCTGGCAAAGCCACTCTCAGTTCGACATCAGACACGCCATTGTAGTTCTGAGGGAAGAACAGACAGAAAACGTGTGGCAGCATCGTAACTCTCTCAGCCTGGAGCACATGAGCTCAACAACAACCTGAACGTGTGAGAGACAGTAAATCACCATCCTCCTACACAGAAATAAGGGAAGTCGTGAAGAGAGGAAATGAACACATGCTAAAAATCAGCGATGTGACGGACAAGCCATGAAGGAGTCCCCTTCAAACTAGGCACAATTCAATCTCAAAGGTCCTTGGAGGAGGGGACCTTAAGGAGGTAGGTCAGCATGTCTGCCTCCCTCTCAAGTCAGAACACTTGTAAGATCCATTCCAGGACAACACAGTCATGGGAGGGGGGGGGAGGGCGGTCCTCTGTTTCCTTTTTCCAATCAGTTCAGAGCCCAATATTAAAGTAAGAAAACCTCCACAAGGATTGCTTCAACAAATACTGTTGAAATGCCTGGGTAATCGAGACTTGATGAAGAGCTATCCACATGAACCTGCTTGACCATTAAACAGTGGTTCTTTTGAGGGACTAAGAACCAATATTTGCACATCACAAAATGCTATACAGTTCCCAAAATGCTTCTGCCCACATTATCCCATTTAAGACTCACAAACAACCCTGTGAGATAGATGGGCACTACAAATATTTTTATCTCAATTTGAAGAAACTAAGGAGATGAAGTGACTTACCCACAGACATACGGCTAATAAAGGTCAAAGGCAGGTTTGGAACCCAGTTCATCCCAGCTGCAAGCTGAACACTCCATCCACTATTCCACATCGCCTCAAAAAGGTGAATGAACACTCAGATCTGAGCCGTTAAACCATCTGTTCTGACAAAGTGTGGGGCGGAATGACGGGATGCTTGTGCTTGGACCCCAATTTCTCCCTGGCCCCAGAAACACTATCCTTGTCAGGTTCCCTACATCCCAAAAACCCCATCTCTGGCAATGACTCATAAGTAGGCCCACTGAGGCAAACTATCTCTCCCTGTTACAAGAACAAGCTGACCTCTATAGAATTTCCCCTGTACTATCTTGTAAATAGAACTATCATGTACTGATTCTCACAGTTATCATGTACAATCCAAGGGTCAAGTTATAGACATCAACTCCTAAAGCTATCTTGTCACAGACATAACAGACCAAAAACACACCTCTTAAGAATCCCCTCCCCGGTGTCCAATACTGAATGACGTAGTTATATGTTATCACCTAATTAGCATACTTGGCACCTAATCTACTACTTTTCCCATATAAGCTTCAGCAACATTCTTGTTAAGTTACAGGTTCCTTAAGAATCCTTGCTCACTGAAAAGTGTAACAATAAACTTTTGCCAACTTGACTTAAAGATTGCTAGATTTTGTGAATTCATTCCAGACGACCCCATCCTATACTCTGGTCCTTGAGGAAATCTCTTGGACCTCAACATTATCTTACCCTTATAAATTCAAAAGGGACCTTTCTCTACTATAGCTTTTAATGATAATCCACAAATTATTCTACAACTCCATCCTTTAGTTTTTTGTTTGTTTTTTGGGGGAAAAAATGAAAGTATGAGTTCCTTAGTGCTTTTTATAGCACAAATTAATTTCCCTGGGCTTGACCAGTAAGACTCATTAACTATTAACTCCTTATTTGTATACTATCATAAAGCAAGAGGTAGATTAAACAAAATTCACACTGTCTCACTCTTCCCCTAAAAGAGGAACGTGGGGAAGATGATACATAACTAATGCGAGGGGCAGGAGACGGGAGGAGGAAGCAGTGAGTAAGATGGAAGATCACTGGGAGCTGGGAGGAGGCAGCAGAGAGTGGGCAGGAAATCCAAGTCTCTTCCCAAAGCGCTCAGAAGGATTCATTTTTTTCTGGTGCCTCTTCCCCCAACAAAAGCAATGAGGTTGTCAGTAGCCCCAACTCTAAGAGTTGGCCAGCCTTTCCTACAAAATGCTTGGAACAGCAAGAAGTAGAATATGCTGAGGCCCACAAGTACATTATGGGGAATACCAGTCCCTTAGAGGAAAAGGAGAAAGCCCATTAATGACTGACCAAAAAGATCTACCAGCCCCAAAACACTAGATAGCCCAGTAAAGGGATCAGGCAATCCTTGGAAGCTGATGGTTTACAAGGCTGCAAATAAATTTGGGTACAAGAGGATGTCATGGCTGCCAGGGACTGACCTGATTTACTTACACTGTGATCCTCTTTCCTGGATCTACCCACTGTGTCCTTGAACCTCATTCACTGATGCCCCCTACCCTTCCCTGTCAATGTGATTAGCATATCAACAAGGGTTGTCCCAGGTCACTATAAAAGGAAAAGGAGGTGAGGCAGGAGGTGGGTTAAGGAACCCACAGAGTACTTAGAATAAAATGTAAGATGGTGTCACTTGGGGTGAAGCTAGTGACATCAATAACAGCTCACTATGCTCATTAATGTGGGCTTTCAAAATATAAATGGTAAAAGCCTTCCAAACATGAATATCTACATCACTGATATAGCAAGTTGCATTTGACACATAAAACTGATTTGGGGAGTAGAGGGAAAAAACATTAGAGTTTTCAAATAAAGTAAGGAAAATATTAGGAAAAGGGCCAGGAAGCTCTTTAAGCTATCCCAATGGAACTAAATCTATGGGTAAAATTAGACTAAAACCTTTAAATTCAAATGTTTTTATGTTTCTGCATTCAGTTTACCTTTTGCCTTCCATCTTTTTTCTTTAAAACCCCAAGCTTGTATCAATTGAACTAAGGAAAGGTCTCCTATAAGACCAAGGAGGGTCAGAGTCCTCCTAAAGTTAGTATGTGGAAGGGAGGAGCCAAGGAAGAGGGGAAGGTGTAGACCCTCCAGCTACCTCCATCAGAACTGGGCACAAGCCCCAAAAAGTGCAATCTCTGGTTAGGGGAAGCTATGAAATGGCTGGAAATAAGGTTTTTCTCTTTTTACCTGTGGTATTCCCTTTTGGCTTCACTCACATTTAGTGAGTGCCTACCTCAGTATTCTAGAAAAGAGTGCTGGACTCAGAGTCTGGAGTTCACACTAGCTAAGTAAGCCAGGTCACTTACTAAGGATGTGGCCCCCTTAGCATGCTATGTAACCTCTCCAAGCATGTTTATTCATCTATAAAATGACGGAAGAAAGCACTTAATCTGCCTAACACACTACTGTGAAGAGCAAATGACATAAAATACTTTGTCAACCTTACAATTTTAGCAATTATGACATGAAAGGTATAATGGTATAGCAGAAAGAGCTCTAGTCTTGGAGCTGATCGAGTTCTGGATTCAAACCCACCCTACTGGGAATCTTGGGCAAGTCACTTAACACCTTAGAGTTTCTGTTTCCTACCTCAGACACCTGCCTCTCAGGGGAGTTGTGAGAAAAATGCTTTGACACCTTGAAACACTGTATGAAATGGAGTTATAATAGCTAGCAGAATAGTAGTAAATCAAAAAGTATGGAACATGACTATGTGCTCACCATTATATGAGGGGCCAAAGGAAAGCTTACGGTATGTCCCACATTCACCAACAAGAGCTAACAATCTTGTTGGAGAAATAAGACACACAATGGACTTTTAGGGGGCTGAGGGAGGGGGGAAGCACTAGATGAGTCATTGTAAGAAAATCCCAGTGAGGAAATCCCTCTACCTGGCAGATCTGCACCTGGGAGCCTCAGAGATTTGTCTGTGGGCACCAAGAACTTAAGGGACTTACCCAAGGACACACAGCCAGCATGTGTCAGAGACTGAACTTGAACCCAAGGTCTTCCTGATTCCAAGACCGGCTCTCTATACACTATGCCACAGCTGCCTCTTAAAATAATTAGAAAATATGGAATATACATTCTCCACTAAAATTCCACTCAGACTTCATTATGACAAAGGGATGATATTGATTTCAGTGTCTTAAAGGCAATGCCAGTAAAGCACAAGCTTTGGCAGCTATTACCAAGGTGGAAAAGATTCAGGTAAGGGCCAGGTAAGGGACTGTGCTTTTGTTGTTCAAAGACCAGCGCAGCAAAGTTAGGAGAAGCAGGTCATCAGAAGACTGGCCACCTGATTAATTTTTTGGGGGAGGAAGTACTAAAACTCATGAAGGCTGTCTATTAAGGGTTCCACAGATAGATACCCCCACCAATAAAATTACAGGTCTGCTGAAGTACTGAGACGCATGCACATTGATGCTGATACACTAAAGTACTAATCAGTGTGGTGAAGAGGAGGTCAATATAAAACAAGGTATTAAGTGTGTGATACAGTCACAGAGAGAGGTCTATGTGGTCTACAGTTATTAAGGAATGCTTCATGGGTGTGTGGCTTGAGGTGAGCCTTGAAGAACAAGTAGGAGATTAATAGCAAAGGGAGGAGACTGGAGTAGTCTGGGGTATTTTTATAGCAATTATTACAATCCAAAACTGTTACCATGATTTTTTTCTTTTAAAGAGCAGATAGGTCACTGGGGAGGTTGTCAACCTACCTCATCTGACTCTGAGAGGAACTCTTGCATGATGTCACTCTCACCAATGACTCGTATCGAACATACTGTGGAACACAAAGACAGAGCTTGGCATGAGGCCCTGAATTCCAAGGGTAAAGAAACCAAGAAGGCACTTGGGTTTAGTAATGAGGCAGCTCTGGGAGCTCCACCTGGGCAGACAGAATTTTAAGGATGAATGTGGAGCTCCCAGTAAGCAGAATGTAGACTCATCTATATGGCTTAGAGTAGTCCTGAATATAGGGGAATTGAAATTAGGAAACTCTAACTTTTCTATCCTTTGCTAGCTATTAGTGAGCTAAAACAAGAAGGCTCAGAGAATAGGAAAAACTAAGCCAAGATAAAATTGAAAAAAGGAGGAATAAAATTCAATTTCAGCTATGATCAGGCTGCAGCCAGAGAACCCTGGGCATTCAGAGTTGCTTTGCACAAGCACGCTGGCCAATTGGGTGTGGTGTTGAGCATATCCTTTCACCTGACTTTCTTCTCAAATCAGAAGGAGAATCACTCCTTGATCTAAGAAAATTTCCTGACTCACTCTCATGTGGCTGGTAAATTACCCTGATGATTTTATTTCGATTCGATTAGGAAACTGAATTTGTGAGGCTTTTCCATCAATTATAAGGCAGCTCTATGCCTCATTTTAACCCTTTCACGTTTCCCAAGAGCCCAGTTTAGAGGCTATTCCATTTTAGAAAAATGATAATGGTGATAGAGATTCACCACCTTCTATAGAGAGTTTTCTTCTAGGATAACAATTCACTGTTGAAGTAAAGAAGAAAAACCCAAAAGAAAAAAATCCCAATGAGGTCAGTTAGTTCTTGTATAAGAATAAAAAAACTACCATTTACTAAATAAGACTATTAATTCTAGCAATTCTTTAATTAAAGCTTCAGAAGAAAATCCAGTCCATAGCTAGCAAACTCTGCAACTCCATCTACCACACTTGGGAGGGAGGGGAGAGAGAGCAGACTGAGACACTAGGACAGGGTAGAAGTGAGGAGTAAAGGGAGGGACATGTTAAAAAAAAAACAAAAGTAAAGAACTGCTTTATATGTTGACTGAGGGCAGCAAAGGTTACTCTAACAGAGGCACAACAGCGCCTCAAGGATAGTCACTTTTCCCTTGCAGAATCAAACTGTGTATCTGATTGTGTACATATGTGTGTGTCTGTTGGTAAATAATATAACAAAGGTCCTTCATGCATTAAAAACAAATTATGTGTGTTGTTAACTATTTGGCAAGTTAATAAAAGTATACTATTAATCACAACACCGAGCAGGCATTTCAGTCATACTTCAAAGCTCTCATCATTAAATCCAGTTTAGAAATGTGCTACAGCATACATACCCTATATCAAATTGCTTACCATTTTAGAAAGAGGGGAGGCAGGGAGGGAGAAAAATTTGGAACTCAAAATTTGTAAAAATGAATGCTAAAAATCGTCTTTACATATAGTTGGGGAAAAAATACTATTTAAAAATCTGCTACAGGCTCACATTCACTGGAGGCCACTGCCCACAGCCTAGGGAGCTAATTATGGAAAGCTCAGCTGGGGTGCATGAAAGCATCAAGGTGACCCCAAGCTATGTGGAAGCTCCAGACGTTTGTCTCGAGAACCAACCTACCTTTCTCCAGGTACTCCTCTAACCCACGACGTCGGGCATCCAACTGCTGCTCTGATAATGAAAACGGCCACTTCCCTGGCAGGCGAGGAAAAGTAAAGTTGGCAAACTCTCGTTTAAGGTTTTGGTGCAGGATTGCAAATTCCCGGTACCGCTTAGAGCACAGCTGCCTTCCCGCCATGTAAACATTGTACACCTAGTCAGAGGAAAGCAAAGTAAAATGCATTTATCGCAAAAGCAAAAACCAGTCACGTCAGGGTTAGCTTGGTGTTGGCTACATCCACCCTACCTAGCGCTAGTCGCAGACAGTGCTTTCTCTACGAAGGGCAGGCTTCTCCATCCCTTTACACTATGGAAGCAGTCCCAATCACGACAACAAAACCTATGTCAGTGGTCTTTTCTCAGTCCTCGTTTTCCAGCATTTGATACTGCTTGACCACCTCCTTTTTGTTTTATTCTTTTTCATCTCCTGGTTTTGCAGAATCTTAGGGGGTTGGGCCAGAACTTCCCAAAGACCATCCAGTCCAACCTTTCTCACAGTAGTGATACTCGTACTTTTCGTGGTTCTTTTTCTAGCTCTTGTTGTTCCATTTCAATTCTGCTCTTTTCCCTCCTATTCCCTTCATAAATATGGGCAGCCCACAGGGTCCGTGTTCTCCTCGCTCTAGTATCCCGATTGCCTTTCCTTCCACGGCTTCAATCACATTTCCAACTTTACGCTGGACCTCTCCACAAGATGTGTGTGATGCTGGCAGCTCAAACTCAACACATACAAAACTGAATTCATCACGTCCCCACCTATGTTTGCTTCTTTCACCTTCTCTGCAGACTCTCTTGATAATGCCACTAATCTCCAGGTTAGCCATGCTTGAAACTCTGGAATCCTCTTTCACTCTTTCTTCTCCCTCATTCCTCACACCTAATCAGTTCCCAAGTTCTATTATTTCTGATCCCGCAATCTCTCTCATAGCCTCTTCTCTCCTTCTACTCCAGGGGCCATTTCCTTTTTTTTTTTTATTAATTTATTTTGATTTATCAATAATCACTTCCATATACCTTTGAGTTTAAAATTTTTCTCCCCCCGCTTCCTCCCCACCACCCACCCCAAGACAGCACACAATCTGATATAGGCTATACATTTACATTCATATTAAACATATTTTCACATTACTGATGTTGTAAGTAGAAATTAAAACCAATAGGAGGAACCATCAGAAAGAGGAAACAAAACTCAACAGAAGAGAAAAAAAAATAACAATTCGGCTTCCATAGTTCTTTCTTTGGGTGTGGATAGCATTTTCCATCACAAGGCCTCTGGAGATGTCTTAACCCTTCCTGGCAATACAAGGATCTAAGTTTATCAATATTAGTCATCACACAACGTGGCTGTCACGTGTACAGCGTTCTCTTGGTTCTGCTCACTTTACTCACATCAGACCATACAAGTCTTTCCAGGTTTTTCTGAAGTCAGCCTGTTCATCATTTCTTATAGCACAATAGTATTCCATCACATTCATATACCACAACTTGCTTAGCCATTCCCCTACGGATGGGCATCCTCTCAATTTCCAATTCTTTGCCACCACAAAAAGAGCTTCTACGAATATTTTTGTACATGTGGGTCCTTTTCCCATTTGTGTGATCTCTTTGGGATATAGCCCTAGAAGTGCTATTGCTGGGTCAAAAGGGATGCACATTTTTATAGCCCCTTGGGCATAGGTCCAAATTGCTCTCCAAAATGGTTGGCTCATTTTACAACTCCACCAACAACGCATTAGTGTTCCAATTTTACCACATTCTCTCCAACATTTATCATTTTCCTGTTTTGTCATGTTGGCCATTCTGATAGGTGTGATGTGGTACCTTTGAGTTGTTTTGATTTGCATTTCTCTAATCAATAGTGATTTAGAGCATTTTTTCATATGACTATAGATGGCTTTAATTTCTTCATCTGAGAACTGTCTGTTCATATCCTTTGACCACTTATCAATTGGTGAATGACTTGTATTCTTTATATTTCAAAAATGAGGCCCTTATCAGAGAGACTGGTCGTAAAAATTCTTTCCCAATTTTCTACCTTCCTTCTAATCTTAATTGCATTGGCTTTGTTTGTGCAAAAACTTTTCAATTTCATGTAATCAAAATTATCTATTTTGCTTTTTGTAATGTTCTCTATCTCCTGTTTGGCCATGAATTCTTCTGTTCTCCATAGATCTGACAGTTAAACTATTGCTTGCTCTCTCAGTCTGCTTATAGTATCAGCCTTTATATCTAAATCATGTACCCATTTTGACTTTATTTTGGTATATGGTGTGAGATTTTGGTCTATGCCTAGTTTCTGCCATACTCTTTTTCCAGTTTTCCCAGCAGTTTTTTTTCAAAGAATGAGTTATTATCCCAGAAGCTGGGGTCTTTGGGTTTATCAAATAATATATTACTATAGTCATTGATTACTGTGTCTTGCATACTTAACCTATTCCACTGATCCATCACTCTATTTCCTAGCCAGTACCAAGCAGTTTTGATGATTGCTGCTTTATAATACAATTTAGGATCTGTAATGGCTAGGCCACCTTCCAGGGGCCATTTCCTTAATGCAGACCTTCATCATCTACTGTCTAGACAATTATCAAGGCCTCCTAACTGGTTTCCCTGCCTCCAGTCTCTCCCATTCACCCTTCATTCTACTACCAAAGGAATCTCCCTAAGACCCGGGTCCAATCGAGTCATATACCTGGCTCATGGGCCTTCGATGGCTGCCCCCCCCCCCCCAAAAACACACACACACAAATGCTTTCAGGCATTTAAGGCTCTCCATAATTCAGTTCTGTTCTAGTCTCCCCATCATATTTCAACTATTCACTACAATTCTTCTCTATATGACTACTAGCCATTCTCTGATTTAGCCTTGTCCTCTCCTAGTTCTCTGCATTTGCAAAGACCATTCATTCCTTGTGCTTGCAAACGGACTTCCTAACTACCTCGCTACCTGCTGAAATCCTCCTCTTTCCTTCAAGCTCAAATGCCAACTCCAAGACTTCACTGATCTTCCCCAGACAGAAGCGATCATATCTTTTCTGCAATTTTTCATCCCTCCTGAACTCTTACACAATAATAATAGCTAGCATTTATACGGTGTTTTAAGGTTTATAAAGCATTTACAATCATCATCTCAGAACAAATCCTCCAAACAACCTTAAGAGGTAGATGCTATTATTACCCCCATTTTACAGATGAGGAAACTGAGGCAGAGGTTGTGACTTGCTCAGGGTCACACAGCTAATAAGTGTCTAAGGCAGGATTTGAGCTCAAGTTCTCCTGATACCATGTCCAGTGCTCTATCCACTGTGTCACCTCACTGTCTAACCTGTCTTCTATATATGGCTTTTATCCCCTCACTAGACTATAAGCAATCTGAAGGCAGGGGTTATACCATTTCTTAGTATTCCCAAGGTCTACTACAGTGACCTGCATATAGTAGGTATTTAATAAACGTTTATTCTGTTGAATTACATAATACATTGCTGATTTTTTTTTTTTGGTCTAGTTTGGAAGTAATTGTTTTTGAGGCTGTGTTCATGTCACGGAGGCTGGAAGAGCAGCAGCCACTCACAGGCCCATTCCAATTAGTGACTGGCATGGAAGCTTTGGTCTTCTCCATTTCTAGTTCATCCCTCCTTATGCAGGCCAGCTCCCAGGGCCAGTGTACTATATGGGTGCCAGACTTAGTACAGACACTCGATTGGCATAGGCCACTGCAACTCACAACTCCCAAGCTCCACAAAATCCACAAGTCTCCATCTCCCCAGCAGCAAAGATTAGATGGAACACCAGGCCTAGCATGCATGATTTTTTTAAAAAATATATATCAGAATGTACACAACCAAACGGGTTTTACATTCTAGTATGCTACGTACTTGTTCTAATCATTAAGGTTCTAAGGATGCCTTGAATTTTTTAAACTGCTTCTTTGAAACCACCAGTTGTTAGTAGCTTGAATATCTTAAGCAACTGCAAATATTCATTCTTTGGAGGTAAACCTGCTTTTTAGAAATGGCCAAGTCAGGTAAATAAAGGCAGATTGCTCAAGGTCGATAATTCTGTTTTGAGTAAACTATACATTGAGTGCAGGGAATGTTTTGTTTTTTCCTAGTATCCCTTGCACCTCCCTGCCACACAGCAGTTAACTCAATAGATGCTTGAATTGAAATGACATAATTATTTTGTTGTATGGCTTATAAACTAGCGCTGGAGACAATTCCAAAAGTTAAAAAAGTTTTGAGTAATGGCAACATGGTTTAGTATGTCACCTCCCAAAATGACTTACTTTGAAAGACATAGCTCATTTGCGCATTAAAGTTCTGGTACATTCTTCAAAAAGTCAGACCCATTATTTGATGGTCACAATTCATGTAATAAGCAAGAACTTAGCAGTAGCCGTGAAATAGTTTTATCTTAAAGATCACGTAGGAATATTTAGTTCTACCACCTAATTCAATTACTTAGTCAATTCCTTTGTAGAAGACTATTCCAGAATTTTACAATCCCAACTTTTAACTAAACTATAAACTACTCCAATGCATTTCATTTATTAATCAAATCCTTAAATGCTTGGTAAAATCTCACTGTTCCACACGTGTTAAAGATGATAAAGGTGGTGGTTGTTAAATTATTGACATTTAAGAAGGTGTAAGTCCTAAAGTCCTCCATTCCCCAAGAGATTATGGACATATTTTAGTCAAATTCAAAAAGCAAAGCAAGCCTACCAGTTTTGTCTGAGGGCTAAAAGATATTTACTCAAGAATCCTGACAAAAGACTTTCAAACAAGAATGCTCCTCAGTTTAAGGATTACCAACTAAGTCACTGAAAGAAGAGGTGATCTGTCCTTTACAAAATAACGTGCGCAATCAGACGGAGCCGACCACATCCAAAACTTGATCCTTACATTAGCTTTCTTCACAGCCAGTCCCCTAATGCAACACATACACTTCACAGGTCAGCTGACAACAGAAGGCAACTCAAGCCACCTTCTGCATGAGGCTGGATTCCTCCAGCTGCTAGGATCGTCCCCACCAAAACTACCTGCTAACTGTTTTGTATGGACCTACATATGGGAAAGTCAGCTTTACTGCTAAAATATAAGATCTTAGATGAAGAAAATCTGTTTCACTTTTGTCTGTGTCCTCAGCACCTAG